TTAATGAAAAGCACTGAAGTGTCTTGTGATGCTCTTTAAAAACATGCCTGGTTACACATGCGTATATGTTTTGTGGATACAACCTGAATCCTGTTAATGTGTAAAAGAAATAAATAATAAATGAATTAAATTAAATGCATTTATCGTCAGCTCTGGACATTGTTTCTTAGTTCAGTTAGCAGCTTGTGTGGAGTGTGCACAGCTACAGTTTCAGGGGTGACACAGGCTCACCCAGCAGTAAATTAATGATTTATTTTGTTCCATTATTAATTAATTCCAACCATTCAGCTGATTTGGATTCCCGTGGCCTGAGCACTTATAAACTGGGCTTGAATGGGCCTGGTAAATGGCCTACTCTACAACAATGGATCACACAACAGTGCTGAACACTTGTCACTACAGCAGATGTCTTTGGAAAGTGCTGTAATTACATTTAAGGACATAAGTCCTCCACTGCTAATTTCATCAATACCATGTGCAACACAGCCCAGAGCAGCTACTGTGTACACTCAGTTATCTTAGTAATAACATCCTCACACTGTATGACTCTGGATACTGTGGCTCCTCTGAAAAAGAAAGCATCAAATGGAAGTACTTGACTCCCTGGTATAACTCTCAAGTGTGCACCTTAAAGCACATAACCTATAAGCTTGGACGGAAATGCCATCTCACTAATTTAGAAGATCTTTATTTAGTCTGGAAAATCACTTTTTTACTCTAGAATAGAATAGAATAGAATAAAATAGAATAGGGGACAGAGGCTATAAAAAGTTCTATAAAAGCTAGCTAGCTTACTGTTCATCAGTGATTGAAGACACTAAGAACAATCACAGGTCTTCAGCGCTGTAGGCAGGTTAACAAAGAGTCAGAGTTTTGTTGAAGCAATTATTCCTCCTTAACTAATAATCTGTAGCGAACTGATTGCTAACAGCTCAGTTCCTTGGACTTGTTAGTCAGTGTGCCATCATGTTTATCGACTCCACTTGAGCTCCAATCAGCTGATTTCAGTTCAAGTGGCAAGGGAGGAAATTGATGTGCAGTCTACAGCGTGAATATGGGCGATCGTGGCTCAAAGAGTTGGCAGTTCGTCTTATAACCGGAAGGTTGCCGGTTCGAGCCCCGGCTCGGACAGTCTCGGTCGTCGTGTTCTTGGGCAAGACACTTCACCTACCGCCTACTGGTGTTGGCCAGAGGGGCCGATGGTGCGATATGGCAG